ATATATATATATATATATATATCTGACAATCCAAATTGACACATGAGAATTGATTCCCTAAGTAAAATTTTTCCAAACATTTAAATAAAATTAATCCACAATATATGAGGAGAAATATGATGATAAAATAGCATTTCATGGATTTAGTTTATAACGATAAATGTTTGCTTGCTAAAATCGAGCCCTAAAGATATTAATGTTGTCAAGTGGCAATCCCATAATTTCATGACAATGACAATGATTTCGTCTCTGTTCACTTCCACAAGGTGCGTTAGAAGGAACAAGGACTAGTGTGATAAATTGGTTATAATGTCAAAACTAGAAAAAGGACATACAGCATTTTTATTTTAAGCTTGGCTCTATCCAAATAACTAGTTAGCCATGTTACTTTAGTGAGTGAAAATAGAGTATTCAATTAAACCGAAACGTTGCTGTCACTTTCTTCACTCTTCGGTCCTAGAATATAAATGCCTTGGCCAACAGGTAACTTTCACACCCCTCACTATGACCTATATTATATATTAATCTGAAAAAACAGTATCCCCTGTTTGTTTAGATCTAGCTTTGCCCTTGTCCCTGTAAATCTAAGCTTTTTCTCTGTTTTATTATATGTTTGTTTGTGTGTGTTTTTTTAATGGGTACTTCTGTTTTTTGGTCCCCTAATATTAATGTTTCCTTAATTGGACGTTTTTCTTTTGCCTGAAGAAAATAAAACACATGATATAAAAAGATATTAAAAGATATAAAAAGGAAAATACTTGGGTCACCCAAAAGAAAGAAAACATGCATTTCAAAGGCAACAAGAGCAGCCTCCCAACTGTTAAACTTAATCGCATTCATTATCTTCCGGAAGATCTTGCGCTATGGGTGTGATAAAATATCCGTTTTGTATTAAAAATTATAGAAGAAAATAAAAAGAAAGAAAAAAATACAAAATTTTAACATAATAAATCGCAAGATAAACATTAAAACAGAATGACCATAGGCTCACTCGTCTGACTCATCTCCATTAATGTAGGTCAAATGTCATGGAGATCAAGAGGACTTTACTCGGCTTGTAACGTTAGGTTAGGGTGAAGGATAGATGAGAATCAGAAAAAGAAAAGCAAACTCACCCTAGACAAGCACGGTGGCAATAATAGACTCCTCCGTTCACCGAACAAAAACCAATGCCCTTTACTTCTAGATTCACCTCTTCACCTTCGAATGTAACGTCCATAAACACTATCCCCCACTATGATCGATCCCCAAACTTGAATTTTTTTTGTTTTTTTTAACACGAAGTCAAATTCACATTTAGAACGGCGAGGGATGAATATAAAGGTTCAAAACATAGTTCAAATAAAACTACATCAAGTCCTAGATTTAATGTCTAGCTCAACATGGAAAAATAGATGGAAGAAGATAAAACCCAATATCCATTGAAGAGCTTCCAAGGACCTCCAAGATGAAGGATTTCGGCATCTTTTTGATGTTTTCTTCAGATTTCCGAGCTCTCCTTCTCAAATGGCATCTCTTTCCTTTTATACTACTCAGTTTCAGAGCTAGGGCTTCATACGCGCGCTGCAGCCTGCGTGAAAACTCGCTGCGGCGTGCATTTTTGGAAGAGGATCCTGCTGTTGCGGGCTGGGGCGCGCTGCAGCGCCCATTGGGCATGGGGCTTCCATCTGGGTACGCTGCAGCACCCATTAGGTGCGCTGCAGCGCGCGGATCAGCTCTGGACGCGCGTGGCCGCGCGCCTGGATGTGAGGTGTGTGCGGCCGCGCCCCTGGATGTGGGGAACTTCGCTTTCCTTTGCGCGCTGTAGCCCTCTTTCTTGCATTCCAAAGCCTCCTCTTTTGTGCCTTAAAATCCTCTTTCGCCTCCTCTTGGTATTGATTCACAAGTTGGGCAAATATTCTTCTTTTCTTCATGCAAAATCATCCAAGTTCACATTTATTTATAATTCCTATAAAAAGCATACAAGAGACATTAAACTAACAAAAGTGCTTGAAGACTTACAAATATTCATGCTTAAAAGTACTTGATTTGTTGGTAGAAATACCCCTCATCGTCCTCCCATGTGGCTACACTCCCTGATGGTAAAGATTGAAGCCATGCCCTAGCCCGGTCCCGCAAGGAGAATGGGAAGAGTTTCAAACGGATGATCTCGGCTCTCACCCCATTAATCTTGACTGTATCACAAATTTCCAGAAAAGTAGCCAAGTGAATATTGGGATCCTCGTGCGGCAAGCCTCCATATTGGTTCTGTTGGACCATATTGACAAGGGTTGGCTTGAGCTCAAAGTTGTTGGCATTGACTTGTTGACGTTGGATGCCCGAATAGTTCTCGTTCACCACAAGTTTGAAATAATCTCGCAACGCCCGTTGCTGGTATAATTGGTTTTGTTCCTCAGCCATGTTGTTAGCCCTAGCTCGTTGTTCTCTCCTCAAAGCCTGAATAGTTCGTTTGAGATCTGAATCCAAAGGTAAGAGTTTCGAGCCACGTGCTTTTTGCATG